TGTTGGGTTTGTTGGAACCCAGTCATTGGGTTCGATGGAACCCAGGCGCTAGATTCACAAGGAACCCAGCACGCTTGGGTTCCATTGAACCCAGGTGGCAAGGCAGTTGTTGGGTTCCTACAAGTGCCTGTTGGGTTTTGTTTCAAACCCAACAGCTGCTGGGACGATGGAACCCAATGGTTGCTAGGTTCGAGTAGTCGTTGGGTTCCGTTTCTAACCTAGTAGCCATTAGGTCGATGGATCTATTGAGTTTGATTTAGTTATCAATTTGTTGTTTGTGTGTTATCATTCTTGAGGTGTTGGGTTCGATTTCGAACCTAGCAGGTGATCAAACCCAGCAAGTGCCTGTTGGGTTTCGTTTCAAACCCAACAGCTGTTGGGACGATGGAACCCAATGGTTGCTAGGTTCGAGTAGTCGTTGGGTTCCGTTTCTAACCTAGTAGCCATTAGGTCAATGGATCTGTTGAGTTTGATTTAGTTATCAATTTGTTGTTTGTGTGTTATCATTCTTGAGGTGTTGGGTTCGATTTCAAACCTAGCAGGTGATCAAACCCAGCAAGTGCTGGGTTCTGTTTCGAACCCAGCACCCGTTGGGTCGAAGGATCTATTGATTTCAATTTGTTGATTTGTTGTGTTATCCTCGAATTTAATATTAGGAGGTGTTAGGGTTTGCAGAAGGTGAAAGGAAAGGGAGAGGAAGAAGAAAGGGAAAAAGGAAAAACAAAGGAAGAGAAAAAAAAAAAAAAGGAAAAAGAAATTTTTTAAGGTTTTTTCTTGCCATCTCATTTTTTTGCCACATTGTACATCCTAGGTGTCAAAATGCTTTTACATGTCATCCTTTTCCCGTCAAGTAACAAGACACATAAGTTGATATTTAACGGAAGGACCAAATCGGGGTCAAATTGGTAAACAGTAAGGATCAAATCAAGGATTTTTTTGGTTTAGAGACTAAATATGGGGTCTGTACAATAGTTCAAGGACCAAAATGAGGTTTTAACCAACTAATAATGTATTACTATTCACACACAGAAAAAGTAAGAATAAAATTAGCAATTTGGCCTTGACATTATGAAAAAAGCAAACAAAAGGGTCTCATATAACAAGTTATTCTTCAAGCTTATGTTATCCTTTCAATAAGTCATGAAGAACATAGTTGGAGTTTGAATTCTCTGTATTTTTTATTTTAGATTGGTGTGAGAATGTTGCTATTTTAATTGTTAAGAAGTTATTTTCGAGGGATTCTTCCTAGCCATTACTTCGACTTTTTTAGATTGATTTGATTATCATGTAATAATAGATTGAATTGATTTAAAAATTTTATTAACCGATTAAATTTAATTAATTTTAAAAATATTAAATTTTAAATAAAATCACACAACAAACACTCCCAGCCATCAAGATCCAAGATTTCGGGTTTACGTTGCTTAAAAATAAAAAATGCTGGCTGGAATTGATGGGCTCTGTTGATTACTTGATTCTTTTCTCATTTAAAAAACAAAAATTAAACCACTTGATTTTTTATTTTTATTTTTTTTGTTGGCCTGGATCTTTTGATTTTTATTTATTGTGATGTTTCATTATGGCAATGCCATAAAACTATGAACTGTGCCAAAAAAGAAATTGCCATAAATTAAAAAATAAGATTACCACTTTCTCGAATTTAGAATAATAAATTTTTTATTTAAAATTTGTTTTAAAATAATAATTTTCTTTTTCATATTT